TGTTTTATTAAAAAATTTGTTATTAGAAAGTAACCCATGTGAAAAATTCAAGCAGTACAGAAATGTAAAAAATAAAGGTACAAGTCACTCTGTGTGATTGCCATGAGGAAAAAGAAGTTTTCTCTTTCCGCTAGGGTTGTCAAGCCTGGAAAGTACGAAATGGGGCTGCCAGCAGCCATCCTCCCACAGCAAGAAGTGAAGTGACCTCAGAATGAAGCCAAGCACTGAGAAGCAGACAGAGAGGGGAGCAAGAATGCCTGGGGAAGTGAGTTCTGCTTCTGGTCCCTTGAGACCCTGGTTTCTGCAGCTCATCCTTTAACTGTGAGGGCCACTTCAGTGTCCTTCCTGTTCAATGGGCTAGTAAACAGCCTCTCTTCCCTTGACTTTTAACTGATTGAGTCATGACAAGTATAACTGGGACAGCTGCTTTGTGGGAATCAAATTATACTGTTTGTGCTATAATCCTATTCTAACGATCAAATAATTCTTCCAGCAGCATGAAATGAGGTCCATTTGGCATGAAGTGGGCTTGGCAAACCAGTAGAGGCCTCTAAATAATCACCTTTTTTTCATGGTCACAAATCATCCTGGGACTAGACATCAAGTTCATCAGGGTATACTGTCTGGAATATATGTATTTTTCCTTTTATGAAACTGAAGACAGCAACTATTCATATTTAGTCTTATGTTATCTCTTCCAACATATTTTCTCAAAGATCCTTAAGAAAGGCTTTGGGGTCATAATCTAAAGCACTATCAGTATGCTAGAATGTAACTCATTTGAGTCTAAAGATTTTTAACCCATTTAAGGCAACTTGGTGATTTCTACCACCGCACCTATCTTGGCTTTTAATTTCTTCTTACTGCTATTTTCTTTGTTCTTTACAGTTTGAGGATCATTTTCTTTGATAGAAAATGCAAGCAAAATAGACAGACATTGGGTATTTCTGTGTTCTTTCAGTTGTCTGATTATTATCGTATCATGTGGTCTCAAGCAGTGGGAATATCTTTTTCTTCTAGCTCTTGATATTGAGCATAAAATACCCACTCCCCCAATAAAAAATAAAAGCCCTTTTTGCTATTAAACCTGACTGTATTGTGTGCTATAGACTTCCTGAATCTCCCTTTGACATCCATGGCCCTTTTTAATATTTTCCTTTGTTATGTGTTCCTCCTCCAAACCCCTGCCCTTTAACATCCTGATTTCACTGGGTGTTGGCTTGTGTGAGTACATCTCTTATTTCTTCCACAGCCAGATCACTGGGATTTGTAGGTCAGAATCTGGGTCTATGCACCTCCTACTCCTCTGAAACCATATCCTTTTTTATAGCCTTTACCATGAAATTGTATGTATTTTAAAAATATGATCTATTTTTTTCCAATTTAAAGGGAAAGCACATTATGGCAGAGACTGCTGGCTCTCTCAATATTCATTCCCTCCTTCTGCTTGACATACTCAGATGTTAGCTGGGCTGCCCAAAATAAACCCTACATTTCCTGATCTCCCTTGCACCTGGGTGTGACCTTGTGGCTATCTTTTAGGCAGTGGAATGTGAGCAGAAGTGATGTGTACAACTTGTGGATTTTGTTCTTAAACCTTCCGCTCCTGCTTTTTCCTGATTTTGCTGGCCAGCATGCAATTATAGCAGATATGGTGGTGAGCATTCTTGAAATATGTGGACCAGGGCAACACCCTAGATATGGCTTTCCATCCAAATCTCAGGAGCCTGGGTAACAGACACTGTGGAGACACTACATCAGCTCTGGAATGTAAATGTTCAGGGTGTTATATGAGAAATGCATTTGTATCTCATTTAAACCACTACACTTTTGAGTTTCTTTGTGACAGTAACCTCACCTGTATCCTAATAAAACAAAGTCATTAATTCAACAAGGATTTATCCCAGTCAGTGCTTATACTCTGTTCACAGAGAAATCTAATGATAATAATAACTGCAAAACTCTGTAGTTGTTTACTACATAGGGTACTTCTGTTGTGCCAGGTACTATGCTTTTTGCACAGATTAGTTTATTTAATGCTCGCTACAGCATCATTAGGTAGACACTCGACTTTTATTACTCTCATTTTACAAAGAAACTGACACACAGAAAGGTTGGTGACTTGTCCAAGGTCATACAGGATAGTAAGTAGCTGAGAAAGGATTTGAGCTAGAGTCTCTGACTCTGGAGCTATTATTTTGTCTCACCAAGACAAGACTGTGTCATGGAACTGCTCATGGCAGAGGTAGAGTCAGGTTGGGTTACTTAAGATGATAATAGTATTGAAGACATATGACTAAAAAGTCATGACAAAACAGAAAAAAAAAAAAAAGCTGTGCAAAAATGGAAGGCAGCAATGATCTTGCCCTGGGAAAAGCTGCAAGTAAGAAAAGTGAAAGAGCACACATTAGATAGAAGATATGTATACCTTTTGCAAAGTTTTAGTGTGCCTGAGGAGTAGTAAGACACTCAGTGACAGAAGTATATGGTATATTGGAGATAATGGAGTGAAATTATACCATAAATTGTAGTTGCTAACATTTTTTTTTAATTAAAAAAAACCTATTTATTTGACTGTGCTGGGTCTTAGTTGCAGCAGGCGGGCTCCTTAGTTGCGGCATGAGAACTCTTAGTTGAAGCATGCATGTGGGATCTAGTTCCCTGACCAGGGATCGAACCTGGGCCCCCTGCATTGGGAACGCGGAGTCTTAACCACTGCGCCACCAGGGAAGTCCCAGCTAACATTTATTATTATGTGTCAGCACATATTCTGACTGCTTTATATACATAAATTTAATCAACCCTCATAACAACCCTATGAGGTAGGTGTTATTATCATTAACTTCATTTTAGATGAAGAAATTGAGGCATAGAGAGGTGAAGTAACTTTGCCCAAGGCCACACAAATAGTAAGTAGTAGAACCTACCTAGTTTGGCTTCAAAGTCCTGCAGTAGTCTGGGTCCAATAAGAAGAAACCACATGGTATGTTAAACAAGCGAATTTGAATGTCAAGAATTAACTATGATAAAAGTGAACTGTAAGATAAAAGGAAACTATATGGTAACTAGGGCTGAGTGAGAGTATGCAAGGACAAATTTGAGAGGGGTCTGGATCTTGTTGGAGAAAGCAAGGGTTGGCTACCAGACAGCAGAGAAGTTTGCTGGTTTAGCCAGGCTGCAGGCAGTCTGGAGTTGCTAGGCAGACGGCAGAGAAGCGGGTGGAGGCGAGCAATCACCAACTGGCCCTGTGGGGAGCCACGGGAATCTGGGAGCCAGCAGGGACAGAAGGCCTTCAAGAGGCCTGGGGGGAATACTGGGGTGGGGGGCGGAAGGACTGCTCAGTGTGTGACCCTGACCCCCAAAAGTCTTGCTGAAGGACAATGGGCAGGTGGTTGCCTGCAGGCCTTGCAGGGCTCTGGTTTCTGTGTCAAGAGGGCTGCATACAGGTTATTGCCAGGCTGAAGCTGCAAGGCTGCAGAAGGACCGAGTTTGGGTCTGTGGCTGGAGCGGACCCCACTGGATGTTTTCATGACCACACTCCTATCTCTGGTCCGGTCTCTCCTAACCACAGGCCTAACTCTGGTCAGGTCCCAGAAACTGCAGGAAGCTTCTTCCTCCAGCGAACTTAACTGAGAAGGCTTAACATCATGCTCTCTTTAAAGAAGAAATGCTTAAAGGAATTCCGTTTTTTATCACAGAGCCTATGTTGAAGTATGTATTTGGACCTGAGAGGCAATACACTGATAACTGACACAATGACTTATGTTCAAAGTCTTTAGGACTTTGGGCTTTACAATTCATGAGACTGAGAGAATCTAAAAACCAATAAAATAAACTAACAATTTAAGTTTTGATAATGGGAAATACCCTGATCAGCTATATATGTCACTTGCAAATTTAAACATTCAGAAGGATATAAATCTAAAGTGCAAGTCCTCCATACCACTCATTAACCAGAGATAAATACTTTTTTAAAAAAAGTTTTTTCTTATTGGCTGGGTTGGGTCTTCATCGCAGCACACGTGTTTTCTCTAGTTGTGGTGCACGGGCTTCTCACTGCAGTGGCTTCTCTTGCTGCAAAGCGCGGGATCTAGGCGCGCTCATGGGCTCTAGAGCGCAGGCTCAGGAATTGTGGCGCACGCAGCGATAAACACTTGCAACAATCTGTCTTTCCTGCCAGCAAATAAACAAATATATGATTAACACAAAAAGGATATCATAAGGACCCTCTCAAAACTGTTCTTACTATGTTAAAAAAATCAACATACCTTTCTGAGCCAATATATTTGGAATTAACCCCCCTCATCATCCTCTCCGCTACCCCCCCCCCCACCAGACTCAAACTAAACCTTTGTTTTTCACACAGAGGTCCTCTTACTTCACTTGCACACGTGGAGTCTTCCGAGTCTCATCTGCCACAGCCGGCAACAGGTTACAGGGTCTCGGACTCCTCCGAGACTCATGAAGCACCGTTCACCAACTCCAAGCCCTCCCCTGACTCGTGTCTCAAGCGGCCAGCCGGTGACCCCCTTTTCCCCCCACGCTGACTGCAACCCAGCTGTTCCCAAAACCTCCAGCAAGCCTGGCGCCGCAGCCCCTCTAGGACCACGTGCCGCCCCGCCCCTCCCCTCCCCTGGCCCCACCCCTCCCCGCCCCTGGCCCCACCCCTCCCCGCCCCTGGCCCCACCCAACTGGGGGGTCTCGCCCACCAGGAGCCACGCAGTCCTGCTCGCCCTGGGCTCCGCCCACTGTGAACTCACGCCGCTCACCCAACCCCGGATCCGCCTACGTCGCCCTGGCTCCACCTTCACGGGACCAGCACTGCGTGCCTCGAGCTCCGCCCACCTCGTCCCAAGCTTCGCACGCCGGGAGTTTGCGTCGCTCGCCCCGCCCAGGCTCCGCCCAACAGGACATGCCCCACCAACCCAGGGCAGCTCTCGTCCGCCCACTGACCACCCCCCCCCCCCCCAATCCCGCCCCGACTCCACCCTTCCGGAATCTGCAACGCGCGTCTCAAACTTCTTGCGCGGGGATCCTTCGCGCCCGCTCGCCCAGGCTCCGCCTACCCTGCCCCAGGCCCCACCACCCGGGGACGCCACCAGCGGCCTCGAGCTCCGCCCACTCCGCCCTGCGAACCCACGTTGCGCGTAGTGCGCCGACACCTTCGCTGAAGCCCGCCCGCGGGGCTCTTCCAGTCGGTTCGCCTCAGGCCTGTGCCGAGGCCCGCCATGGAAGGGGACGTCTCCGCCGCCGCAGCCGCCCACTACCAGCCGGCCAGCCCCCCGCGGGACGCCTGTGTCTACAACAGCTGCTACTGGTGAGGGGGAGCGGGGTCGGCTCCCGGCATCTCCCTGGCCCGCTCGGCCGCGGCGTCGCAGCCGAGCCCCGCCGTCGCAGCCGAGCCCCGCCGTCGCAGCCGAGCCCCGCCTCTTCCCGGCCCCTCCCCGGGGCCGCTCTGGGCCTTGGCGGGCGAGTGTTCCGGTTTGAGGGGAGGAGGGAGCGGGGAGCGGGAGTGGCAGTCCTTGTTCCTTGAGTTGAGCGTGGGCGTTTGGGTGTGGAGGGGGCGGTATTCGCCAGGAGTGGTAGGGTCGGTGGTGCGTTACTTCTGCCCGGCTCCTTTCGCTTGGACGTTTGTCAGCAGATCTCAGGGCTTGGGCGGCCAGGAAGGGGAGTTGGAGGCGGAGGGTGGACCGCAGAGAGCCTTTGGAAATTATTCTGCTGAAGCCTGCGTGGTTTCACACTGATGTGAAGGTCATCTTAATTTTGGAAGAGAATGAAAGCGCAGAGATCCTACAGTAACATTACCAAGATCACCCAGCTAATAGCAGCCCGGAATCCAATTCAGGCCCTTTTGTACCAGAAACCAGGATCTGAACCGCCGTGTCGTCATTATAATAGTGGTTACATTTACACGTAGCACTTGATATATGACAAGAATTGTTCTGAGACGTTTATGTCAGCGAAGTAATGTGAGCCCCACAGTTACACGAGGAGGTCGGTACTGTTGTCCCCATTTTAAAGGTGAGCACGTTGGAGCATGGAGGGATGCAAGTAATTTACCTAAGGCCACATAGCTTGTGAGTGAAGGAATGGGGATTTACACGCAGAGTTCGGCTCTGGAGTCCACACACTGCACCCCTGTCCTAGGCCACCTCTGTGGCTGAATCACCACTCTTATCTTGGTCCTTTTCACACCCACACCTGCCTTTCCCTTGCTTGAATAATGACTTCTAACCCCACTTTCCAGTCCCTGCACAAAAAACCTTAGGGTCCTCTATAACTTACCTTTCCCTCCTTCCGATGGTCACCAAACCGATGCTGTGGAGCTCACCATTTGTTCAGCTCTGACTGCATGTCAGGCCTAGTGCCAAGTACTTCCATCCATGCTTAGGAGATAGGTCTTTTGTTATCATTCTTCTCATGAAAAGACTGAGCCACAGAGAGGCCTGTTGTTTGCCCAGGGTCACACATCTACAGTGGTGGTACTAAACCTGGAACCTCTGTAAGGGTGGAACCATGCTTCTTCTGCCCTGTCTCCCACCTCAGTCCTGTTAGTTCTTGTCCCTCACATCCATCCGTTGTTGTTGTTTTTTTGCGGTACGCGGGCCTCTCACTGTTGTGGCCTCTCCCGTTGTGGAGTACAGGCCCTGGACGCGCAGGCTCAGCGGCCATGGCTCACCGGCCCAGCCGCTCCGTGGCATGCGGGATCCTCCCGGACCGGGGCATGAACCCGTGTCCCCTGCATCGGCAGGCGGACTCTCAACCACTGCGCCACCAGCAAAGTAGCTTGCTGGGGATGTTTTTGAGAAGGTTCAACTGTTAGCCAGTTGTTGGATGAGATGGTATTTCAGGTCTCTACCAATTTTTTAAATGTCATTATCAGTCTTTTGGGCAAATTTGAAAGACATAGAGTGTTCTTGTTTAATTATATTGATTAAACAATTACTTTATTTCAGTGAAGAAAATATTTGGAAGCTCTGTGAATACATCAAAAACCACGACCAGTATCCTTTAGAAGAGTGTTATGCTGTCTTCATATCTAATGAGAGGAAGATGGTAAGTTGGGGAGTGATTGTGGAAATTTAGGATTACATTAGAAGCTAAATAGACCATGGGTTTAGCACTGTTCTAAAATGTGCCGTATAAAATACAGCAACATTTTAAAGTTTGTTTTTGAATGAGATTTTTTCCCTACCAGGACATGGTTGAGTTAGTAGAGCTTAGTCCCTTACTTGCAGGTAAGGAAATATGTGATGGTATGTTTATGCAAATAAAATCCCCTTTCTTTAGGTATTAAGTTAGAGCTATTAAAATTAAACTTCATTTTTAAATTAAGTTAGAGGCACATATTCTCAGGTTTGAAGTAAAGGTTTCTTTGTTTCTGGAGTTTTAATGGAACTGTAGTAAACTTCTATGAAGTATTAAGAAAAGTAAGCCCTTAATATTTTGTAAAGCACTTTTGTGAACATCATCTTGTTTGATCCCAGTGGAAACCCTGTGAAGTAGACAAGGTCCAGACAGCTGTCTCTGTTTTATAGATGAGGAAATAGAGACTCAGGGAGGTCCCATGAATAATTAAGTGGGAAAGCAAGATTTGAACTTGCCAGGAATTCCAGTTCCTAGTTTAGGTCTCTTTCTACTCTCCAGAAAACATCTTGTAATTAATTATTGCTCCTTCATTGTTAAGGACACTTGGAAGGATTTGGATTTCTTCTTATCCATTCATTCTTTCACCTTGATTGTTGATTGCCTAGAAATATTTTATTTTTCATGTATGTATTGCTTTAAAGAATTTAGTAGTGGTTTAACTGAAGTTGTGGCTTAGGAGAGTTATTGTATTTTGTAGATACCTATCTGGAAACAACAGGCAAGACCTGGAGATGGACCTGTGATCTGGGTAAGGTGGTCAACACAGACAGCTTCTGATGCAATAGTATTTGTAATCCATGAGTGGTCTTTATGTTTTGGTAGAGCAGAAATAATGGGGCAGTAGAGAAAGACTATGATAATTATTAATAATTTGACTTCTTGACGATAGATGTTATTTGGTCTAAGGTAGAAGCACTTATGGGCATGTTTTCTTTTAATTTTGAAATTATTATAGGAATGATTTTAAATGGCTGATGTAGCAGATATATTTGTTATCTAAACTCTTGTCTATTTAGCACTGGAAGGAACTTGAGCATTATCTAGTCCAGCTGCACAGTAGAATTATCCAGAGATTGTTAAAAATACAGGTTTCTGGGAATTCCCTGGCGGTCCAGTGCTTAGGGCTCAGGGCTTTCACTGGCAGGGGCCTGGGTTCAATCCCTGGTCGGGGAGCTAAGATCCTGCAAGATGTGCGACATGGCAGAAAAAAGAAAAGAAAAAAAAATACAGGTTTTTGATCTAGTCGATCTAGAGGTTCAGGAATTAGTGTTCTTAGTAGACTTCTGAGTGAACATGACTGGCATTTGGAAAACATGGATCTGCGCCAACCCCTTCATTTTTCAGTTGAAGAAACAAGCCAAGAAAGGCAGAGTGAATAGCTCAGGGTCATTTAGCTGATCATTGGCAGGGCTGGGTCCTTTCCAGTACACATCCATATGTCACCTTAAACTGGTCCCCTGAAGAATGGAATTGTTTATGCTAAGAAACATGAAGGTAAAGTAAAACTCCATTCATGATAATGCAACAAACATCAGGTTTCTGATGCTTATTTAGAATAAGATATCATTTGAATTGGCTTCATTCATTTACTTAACATATATTTATTGAGTGCCTCTTATATGCCAGGCACAAAATAGACTGAAATCCTTGGCCTCATGCTCTTGCTTCCTTCACCAGCAGGGGATCCTCTGCTCTAACATTGAAGCCCAAATCCAGCAGTGTTGGGTTAGGAGTGCAGGCTGAGTCGGACACATGGGGGTTAAACCCCAGTCCTCCCGTTGGTGGGCTGTGTGAGCTGGACAGGTTATTTACGCTCTTTCTTCGGTGTCTTCCTCTGGTCACTGGAGGCTTTAGTGAAATAATGCATTTGAAGCATTGTCCTGGTATCTGGTACCAGTGCTCCAGAAGAGTTAGCTATTATTGTTAGCAGAGCTACAATAACCCCAGTTGCGGACTGTCCATCTGCCCTAGCAATCATGCCCATTGCTGAAGTACTCAGCTGATTTTGAGTCACGGTCTTGCTTCCTGTCTTCAGGAAACTCGCAGGGAAAGGACCTGTCCCCCTTTACACAGCAGCTCATGGCGGCTCAGTGTGGGGAACCTTGTTTCAGGAAGTCTCCCCCCAGATTTTCTATGTGGAGCAAGTCTCTGGCAGATTGATCTGGGCCTCACTGCTGTTCTGTTGCAGGGAATGGGTAGGCTTCCCTAAGTGGGTAGAGGCACGGTCCCCGGAGGAACAGATCACTTTCTAAGTGGACATCCCTGCCTCTAGCCCCACTGGGTCTTTTCCAGGCATTTGGACAAGCTCTGTACCCAACTCAGAGAGTGAGGCTATTGCTGGAATCTGCATTCCTTGGTTCCGCATCTCTGCCGTGAAGGTGACTCCTAGTTGAGGCCTGCTTTCCCTCTCGAGTTCACCAGCCATCTGTTATGTAGGAATATGGACCCGAGCTAACCAGAAGGGTATTCCTTGTTTATGCCTTTTCCTCTCCTTTTATTTTGGGCTGTGCCTCGTTCCCTGGTCTTAGTTCCCTGACCAGGGGACAAACACACGCTCCCTGCAGTGGAAGTGTGGGGTCTTAAACACTGGACCGCCAGGGAAGTCCCTGTTTGTGCTTTTCCACAAGTTGTGTCCTCCTTCTGGGAAGCTCTCCCCTTCAGGCAAGAGGCAGTGACGGCAGCCTTTCCTCAGTGAAACGCTCCTTAGCAGTTGCCTGCCTTTTCCTCCCCGCCCACACACACCCTGCCTTGGTTGCCTTTTTTTTTTTTTTTTTTTTTTTTTTTTATTTGCGGTACGCGGGCCTCTCACTGCTGTGGCCTCTCCCGTTGCGGAGCACAGGCTCCAGATGTGCAGGCTCAGCGGCCATGGCTCACGGGCCCAGCCGGTCCGCGGCATGTGGGATTTTCCTGGACCGGGGCATGAACCCGCGTCCCCTGCATCGGCAGGCGGACTCTCAACCACTGCGCCACCAGGGAAGCCCTTGGTTGGCTTTTTATAAGGCTGATTATTTACATAGTAGTCTCATTAATTCTCTCAGTAATACTGTGAGGTAGACACCACAGTTATCTCCGTCCTGTAGAGGAGGAAGCTGGCTAGTGGTGGGGCTGAGGCTGAGCCAGGTGATCCCGCTTCAGGAGCCTGTGCCTGCACGCTCTCCCACCTCTGCTGAATTACCTCATCATCTCACCGTTCTGCAGCAGTTGACTTGTGTTTCCCGCTCGCTTCTCTAGGAACTCCTTGAGGGTAAGGACCTATCTTTCTCATCTTCGTATCTGTATTTTAATAGCATGGTTTCCCATAAAAAAATAGGGAGTACATATTTCAAAAAAAACTGTAATATAGGGTAGAAGATGTCAAGAGAGAAACAGATTTTGGATACGGTGGAGACTGCTTCTGGCAGGGGTGGGAGAGGATGAAAGATGGGCTCATGGGGAAGAAAGCATTTGAGTTGGAGCTTGAGTGATAGATGTGGGGAGAGCGGAGGAGAAGGTGGTGCAGGTGGCGCCGAGTAACGTGAGCAAGCCTGGGGGAAGGGAGTCGTGGACTGTTACTGGGGAAGCAGCGCTTAGTTCATGTATCTGGAGGGTAGGATGCATTAAGGGGAGGACAGGGAATAAGCTTTCATTTCTGATGCTATTCTGATTTCTAAGATAGAACTGGAGACAAAGGAAGCACTTGCAGCTCTGATGGTACAACATCTCCAGTCTCAATTATGTTTCCCACCTCACAGGGTCAAATGAAACATCGTTTGAGAAAGAGCTTTGTAAGCTCTGAAGTACTAGAAATGTCAGATGGTATTTCTAACATTGTATTGATGTGATTGAACTTTTTATCTCGCAGTGCTGTTCTCTGTGAGAGCATTTTTCTTCTGAGGAGCTCTAAGCATCACACTGCCCTCATGTCCATTGATAAACCTCCCTGACGTCCCTTCCAGCCCTTAGCTGGTTGGGCAGTGCCCCGTGTCCGGGAGTGAGAGTGAGAATTCACCTGTGCGCTGGGACCCAGCTGTGCAGGAGAAGCTCTCTGTATTCTTCTTCCTTAATGGCTACATATTAGGGCTTGGCTGACTTAAAACCAATAACAACCGCATTTTAAAGTCCTTCCCCTCTCCAGGCTCACCTCAAGCTGTCCCCTTTGTTAATGGTTTGGAGGATATCCTTGTAGACTTTTTTCTCTGTACTCATATGCATGCATGTGTACTTCTGAATGCACATGTCTGTCTTTATATACACATAAATTAAAAAAATAATAAAATAATATATAATACATATCTGCAATTTGCTTTTTCCATCCAACTGTGTAACGTGGACTTAGTCCAATTTCCACAAAAATTTACCTACTTCTCTTTAGCAGCTGCGTAGGACTCCATCTTATGGCTGCATCATGGTTTGTTAACCATTCCCCTCTTGGTGGACTTCTCGTTGTTTCTGAATTTTCAGTGTTATAAACAGTGCTGCAGAGATTTGCATTGTTTATATACCTTTACATGCATGTGGCCATTTTTCTATAGGCTGGATCCCTAATGGTAAAATTGCTGGATCGAAAGGTGAACATTTAATGTACATGAACATTTCCACTACTTGACTGTTCCCTATCGCTGGACATTTGGTCTGTTTTCAGGGTTTTGTGTTTGCTTTATTTTGCTATTATAAGGAGGACTGTCTTAGTCTTGTATATGGTTTTTTGTTTGTTTGTTTTTAAGCCTTCAACTTTATTTTTTTTTAAGATTTATTATTTATTTTATTTATTTTTGGCTGTGTCGGGTCTTAGTTGCGGCACGTGGTATCTTCGTTGAGGCATGTGGGATCTTTTGTTGGGGCATGCGGGCTTCTCTCTAGTTGTGGTGTGCGGGTTTTCTCTCTCTAGCTGTGGCGCACAGGTTCCAGAGCGCATGGGCTCTGTAGTTTGTGGCATGCAGGCTCTCTAATTGGGGCGTGCGAGCTCAGTAGTTGTGGCGCACGGGCTTAGTTGCCCTGCAGCATGTGGGATCTTAGTTCCCTGACCAGGGATTGAACCCACGTGCCCTGCATTGTAAGGTGGATTCTTTACCACTGGACCACCAGGGAAGTCCCTTGTATCTGTTTTTGATGATATATATGCATTATTACTATAGCCTTGGAATACACCATCATAAGGTAACCTGGTTAACTTCAGCAACTTTTACTTCTAGGATTACCATGTTGTCTTGCTTCATGTTTCAAGTGGAGGACAGAGCTTCATTTATGATCTTGACACTGTCCTGCCATTTCCCTGCCCCTTTGATACTTATGTGGAAGATGCCTTTAAGTCTGATGAGGACATCCATCCACAGTTCAGAAGGTGAGGAAATTCAGGGTGGATTTACCTACTTTCTGAAGTTGGACCTTGACAATTAGACAGAGTTACTTTGGGTGTTTGTTTTTGCATTGGTTTTGTAAAGATCACTTGTCTTGTCTTCACCATTGAGTTGATGTTTGAGAATCATGTGCTCTACAGAAGATTCAAAATGTTTTAAAGTTTTAAAGGTTGTCCATTGTATAAAAGGTTGGCAGTCTTTAAAAATTTGTGTGATGAGATCCAGAACATTTTCCAACAGTCGTTTTGGGCATTTCTCTCATACTCTTCGTTTTGGGTGGGTGGTTGGGTGGTGGCGGAGCTGGATGCCTGGCGATGACAGAAGTCAGAGGGCTGTGACGGCAGCACCCGGACATTACGCCCTCTGCCCCTCGTACATAACACTGAGCAAGTAAAGGCAACCGGCTGTACTTCCATGCCTTATGTAGTTTGGGATTTCAGCTGATCATTTCTCATGGCGTCTTTAACAGGTATTAAAGGTACATATATATTTGTATGTCACTAATAGTACAGAAATGCCTGTCTAGTTTTGTGCATGTCATAGAAAATGAGTCTATATGAGAATTGAGTTAGAATTTCAACTGTGATATAAACGAATGTTGGTTTATGTACAGGAAATTTAGAGTGATCCGCGCAGATTCATATTTGAAGAACTTTGCTTCTGACCGATCTCACATGAAAGACTCCAGTGGGAACTGGAGAGAACCTCCTCCATCATATCCCTGCATTGAGACTGGAGGTGAGCCAAGGACGCCCTCTCAGAGGGGTTTCCCATCGCTGTGCAGATGAGCGTGTTCCCTTAACCAAGGACAAGAAGTGCATTGTTCTTTGGGTAAGACTCCCTGAGTGGTAAGAGGTAAGAGGGAGTATAGTTCTTATATTTATCAGATTCAGAAATTAAGGCACAGAGAGCAGGACCGGAAGGCACCAGAACTCATGGGAGAGGCAAGGCGTGAGGGAGCCGAACCACGACCCCGTTGCTGGAATGTTGGGTGTACCTGCTGCTTGCGCCCTGGACTTGGGGAGATCTGCGTGTTTGTGCCGCTTAACGGGGGGACTAGTAGCGCCTTGCCGTGGTGGGTGTCATGTGATGGTGAAGGAAGTCCCCAGTGCATCTTTGGGATATGTGAAATGTCGTTTCACTGACTGTGACAAAATCTGCATTAGAAGGAGGTGAGAGCTAGCAGGTTTTACTGCCCCACTCGTCTCATTTCTGTGCTTTCAGGCATCAGTCCAATTACGAATTTCTTGAGACTTAAGTAGGTAAAGGATTCTTCACCGTGTTACTATTGTTTGGCATTCACCTGAGTTGGAAACATTATTTATGGTGGGAATTAATTTGCAACGTTGCCACTTATTGGTGAAACATCCCCTCACAAGGATGATACCGTCTGAGTCAAAATGCTCTGTAAGCCGTGAAGGATGCCAGAAAAATAGGACATTAGTGTTCAGAGTTCAGCAGGGGAGAAAGTAAAAAATATATTTGGTGTATTTGAAGTGAGTGAACACTGAAAGAGGATTCCAGCTCTGATTTTTGAGGCTCTCTGTGAAAAGCTCTCATGATTTTTAAAGTTTATATTGGAGTTTCTTTGGGTTCACCAACCTGGTTCCCAGCTTCAGCATTAGAATTGGGATAGCTCAGGTCAGGAAAAGGCATCATGGGTCTTGCTTTCAGTCTCACACACCCTGCTGCACGGTGTGGTCTGGACAATGCTTGCACGGCTCCCTGTTTCTCTTTTACATGTGAGCACTAACACAGAGCCTGACATGTCGTGGACCTTCAGTAAACACCTTGTCAGCCCCGGTCATTCCTTTGGGTTTTAATGACTACTTCCCAAGAGGTGCCTGGCAAAGGTGCCAGGCTTTGTGCCAACCCCTTCTATGTAACTAGCTCATCAGGGGCCTCCTGAGGTTGATATTGGAACTCAAAGGGATCTGCTCTGAATGTGGGGTAAACATACTGGTTTCTCGTGTAGTAATTTAACCACATGTTCATGTTCTCTCGTGTGGTAAATCCATTACTTCAAGCCCTGTGTTTATCAAAGGAATGTATTTGAAGTTAGGAGACAGAGGAATTACCTTTAGCTAATTAGTGTTGCTTTATATAAAAAAAAAGCTTAAAAAAGAAAAAACATGGTTCAAGAAGACATTAAACTTTAAACTGATGCAGCTTTGTTTTTTTCATAGCAGCTCTCCTTGGTCCCCTGCATTTAGTTGTGGAATTGGCCTTTAGGGCTTAAAATTTAGTACATTTGATGTGTTGCACATTACAATTAAGCCTGTACATTTAATAATTTTGGTGGTCATGTGTCTGCAGGCTCACTATTTTCAATTCAGCATTTAGTGTATTTTAAATAAAGGAACTCTTTTTTTTTTTTCTCCCCTCCCTGAAAAAAGAAGGAAACGGAGATTCACAGTCTTGCAGCCTTGCTCTGAAGGCTCAGTTCCAGTACCAGCCACAGATGGTTCAGTTCTTAAGGACGTTTCCCAAGTCTTGGGCTGAGTTATAGGATCTACCATATTTGTCCCCTTCTCTTTCTGAGCCCTTTGCTGCCTTTTGTCCGCATTTACCTCTCATCTCCTTGTCTCAGATGACGTGTTATAGTAACACTGGCTAATTTGAGCCCAGCTGGAGGACCAGTGTTATGTAAACAGAAATGTTGTAGTGCCTCTTGGGGAGATTATAGGCAAGTGCTGATTTGTTATACATTTATCTTTAAAAATTAAAAAAATTCTTATTTTATTTTTATATGTTATTAGGTAATGAATGCTTGCAGATCGTAATCCTCTTTTATTTACTTACATTAAAAAGCCCTAGAAAATGAATACAGTTGTATTTCAGAAGTTGAGGTTTCCTTTAGCCATTTGTTAAAGATTTTAGCTGACTTACATGGAGTCTGGCATCTACCCCAGGTAAGCAAGAGCTTTTGCCCCATCTCTCCTGGGAGGCGCCTGTTTTTCCTTTATTTTGGATTCCTTGGTCATTGTGCATCCCTGGCCCTCTGATGACTTCAAGAGAAGTCCTGCTTTTGCTGATTATCTAGCTTTTCTTGTTGTAAGGGTGGGAGTGACTCTGTTTCTAGTTTTCTGTATCCTAAGTGCTTACCTTCATATTTGAAAGATATATTTGTTGGGTAATGTATGCTAGTTTTACATGTTTTTTCTTTCAGTGTTTTAAAGGTGTCTCGCTTGTTTTCTGCTTGCTGAGTTTCTGATCAAGGAGCATGCCGTTGTTCTTGTGTCTGTTTCTCTAAATGCAGTGTGCTCTGGCTGCTTTTTAAGGTTTTCTCTCTATCTCTCGATTTCAGGGATTTGGTTGTGATGGACTGTAGCATAGTTTGCTTTAGGCTTATTCAGCTTGAGGTTTGTTAAGATTCTTAGATTGCGGGATTTATAGTTTTCATCGAATTTGGAAACATTTGGCCATTACCTCTTCAAATATTTTTTCTGACCTCTCCCCCTTTTTAAAAAAAATTCTTGTCCTTCCCCTACACGTATGTTAGATGGCTTGTTACTTCTCTTAGGTCAATGATGTTCATTTTTTTTCAGACTTTTTCTGTATGTGCTTCATTTTGAATAATTATTTTGTCTGTAAATTTATTGATCTTTTCTTCTTCATTAACTCATTTGCTGTTAATCCCATCCGGTGCTTTTTTTTTTCATTGTACATATTTTATTTTTTCATCTCTAGACATTCCATTTGGGGCTGATTTAATATCTTCCATTTCCCTCTTTGTCATGCTCATGTTTTACTCTACCCTTTTGAGTATACGGAGCATGTTTATAATAGCTGGTCCTTGTCTGCTGATTCTGTTATCTCTGTCGTTTCTGTCTGTGAATGTTGATTGAGTTTTCTCCTGGCATTGAGTCATATTTTCCTGTTTCTTTGTGTGATTCGTAATACTTGGTTGGGTGCCGGGCTTTGTGAATTTGAGGTACTTTTAAAAACAGTGTTGGATTTGGTTCTGTCATGCACTTAAATTCCTGGGGGTCAGCTGGATCCTTTCAGGGCTTGGTTTTAGGCTTTTTTAGTGCAGGTTTGAAGCAGCCTTTCACCCAGGGCTAATTTAGCCCCACTGCTTTGGTGTGACCCTTCTGAGGATTCTACCAAATGCCCAGGTGTTATGAGTTCTCTCTACCCTGGCTGGTGGGGACCATGGAAGTTCTGGGAGTTATTAGACTGACTGCTTTACGGTGCTTCTTTCCTGGCCTTATGAGATTAGTCCTTAACCAAAGACTTAGGGGTAGAGGAGTGAGTTCCCTCTGCAGAAATCCGGGACACTCTGTGTAGTTCTCTCCTCTCCCACACTATGTCCCTCACATGTAGCTGCCAGGCCCTTCTGAACTTAGATCTCTGTCTTCCCATCGGCGGGAAAAACTCCCATGCTGTTTGTGTCCCTGCCTCCGTGCTGTGGTCTGGAAACAGCTCTCCGGGCAGTGAGCTGGAGGGATCCTACAGCTCCTGCCCTTGTTCCTCTTTTCTTAGCAGTCAGTTGTGTGTTGCCCATTGTCTGGTGTCTGGAAACAGTTGCTAAATATATTTTGTCCACTTTTCTGGCAGTTTATGGTGGAAGTGCAGTTCCCATAACAGTTCTTTGATGAGTAGAAGCATCTCTGTATACACTTAAAAATTTGTAGTATGGAAAATTTTAATCATATACAAAACTAGGCAGAACAGTAGACTTTCAGCAGTTACCAGCTCATGGCTGATATCCCATCCACTTATACCCCATCTACTTTCCCCCTTCTTGTATTATGTTGAAGCAAATTCCAGATATTATATCCTTTCAACTCTAAATATTTCAGTACGGATCTCTAAAATATAAGGATTAATTTAAAAAATACATGACCACAATGCCATTATTACACCTAAAAAAATTAACAATAATTCTTTAAAATCAACATATATCTCTGTAGTCAGTGTTGAGATTATCATAGTTATCTCATGAAGTCATAATCTTTTTTCATGTAGTTTGTTCATGTGAATCAAGGTCCAGATAAAGCCCCCCCATCGTGCTTGGTTGGTATGTGTCTCTTTAGGGTCTTTTTTAATATGTAGAGATTCCTAGTCCCACTCTTTTTTTATTTTTTTCTTGTAATTTATTTGTTGAAGAAATGAATCTGGGAGAAATGGTCTGGATTTTGCTGATTGTATCCTTTTGTATCCTCTGTATTTCCTATAAATTGGCAGCTGTATCCAGTAAACTGGCAGTTTGCTTATTTATGCATTTTTTCACTTAACTTTTTATTTTGAAATAACTTTAGACTGCTAGGGAATTGGTTAAAACAGTACAGAGAGCTCCTATATACCCCTCACTCAGATTCCAGGGGGATCTGAGAAAAACCATAGTGTAATTATCTAAATCAAGAAAATAGTAAATCAGTATGAAAATATTGACACAGTACTGTTAACTTATAGACCTTACTTAAATTTTGTAACTTTTCCTCCTATTTCTGTTTTCTGGTCCAGAATCTAACTCAGGATATTACATGTAGTTGTCATGTCTCCTCATCTCATTCTCCTTCAATCTGTGACAATTTATTTTTTTTTTCTTCCTTACAACTTTTACCCTTTTGAAGGGTACTGGTCATTGACTATGAATAGTGTCCCTCAGTTTGGGTTTGTGTGATGTTTTGTCATGATTAGATTGATGTCATACATTTGAGACAAGAATACCAGAGAAGTGATATTGACCCCTTATGAAACATTTGAATAATTTTCCCTACTTTTGGTCTTCT